GATCTGGCAGAGGGGGGAGAGGGGAGATGGGGGGCGGAGTTGACAACGATGACGTCACGGCACCAGCTGGGTGCCGCGTTGAAGTTGAGGAGCAGATCATGACGCACTCTCGGCGCCATGAGCACTGACGCGCGGTGGAGAGGGCGAGCGAGGTAGCCACAGTCGAAACCTATCTGGTAGTATGAGAAGGGGAATGGGGAATGTGGGGAGATCGTGACGCACGCCTGGCACCATGAGCACTGAGATGCGGCACAGAGAGCTGGCGAGGTAACCACCGTCCGAACCAATGTTTCAGGATGGGAGGTGAAAAAGGACAGGGGGCAAGGGGCGGGGAAGGGGTGGCGGGAGCAGGGGGGGATGGGGGAAGGGGGTTGGGAATATGCTAGGGCTCTTCACATGGGTAGGCAGTGGACCTCGCATGCATCAAACACAGTGAGGGACCTTCTTGTTCTCACCAGGTAGAAGGGCAGCACAGGTCCGCCAAGAGGGGGGTTGAAGTTGTTGTCACCACGTGCAGCGCATTGGAAGGAGAGGTTGTACGTGCGTGCGTTGCCTCCATTCACCACGCGGATCCGGTGCATCGCTCGCCGAACCCTGAGGTACGGCCAAACCTGAGGGGTGGGATATGGAAAACGACATGAGGACCATAAACTCGTTATGAAGACTTATAGCAATACAATCTGGAAAAAATCCGACTCTTATATTTCTACTTGTAAAAAATGCAGTTAATATGATGAGAGCTCACCTTGCCGTTGACAACGATTGTATCCCCTCTAAGACCCGGCGTCCAGTTGGGGTGAACCTTGGGCACAGACCCCACGTTCGGATAATTCATCGATCCGTTCGGAAAAAACAGCCTGTCAGCAATCAGCAGGTGCAATTGACGCCCGCCACGTGGCAGCCATTTCTTCAGCCGCCTCTCCTCGCCCTGTGGGTCGCGGATAATGTACAGCCCAGCCATTCCTGACGCGACGTTGGGCGCGGTCATGCCAACCGTGTGGTCGTGGTACCACAGCATCGTAGGGCGCTGCGTGTTCGGATAAGTGTGCTCCTGGGATTCGAACGTGGGCCCGTGCTCCCCACTGGCCGTGTACCACGCCTCAGGATGGCCGTCGGATTCGCTTGGCACCTCTGCGCCATGCAGATGAACGGCTGGAATTATTCAGAGAGCAGGTGGGAGCGTGGGAATTAAGCTGTGAGTTAGACGACGGGATCAGACAGGCTTTTAGATACGAGTAGATCAGTCACCTCGAGAAAATGGAAAATGGAATGGAGACTGAAATGTTCAAAGTTTGGAAACGAAATTTTGAAAATGGGTATCGGGTGATACAGGTGATTTAGGTGATGCATGCGGGGCTGGTAGCTGAAAGGGGAGCAGTTGTGGTTGAAAGGGAGCAATAACGCCGAGGCCGAAACCCGACCCAAACTTACATATCGGCACACCCCCGTTTTTGGGTTTGGGCGCCATGAGAGTCGGGTCGATCGTGAACATGTGCTCCTTGTCCGCGATGTTGTTCGCGAATTCCACCTGCGACCATGAAGGCAGGATGGACAAACAATTCATGAAGGCAACGACGTTCACGAACAAGAGGCGGAAATACAGTGCTCGACTCATGTGCACCAGACCAGCAGTGCGGCGATTGACGAATAAAGCCATCCAAAGTGCGAGCAACCGTAGAGCTACTGATAGTTGACGACGCTCACCTGTGTGGTGGCGCTCTAAACCTACTGCCGCGCTCACCTTGGTGGTGACGCCGCGCTTCGCGACGAGCACGGGGCCCGGGTAACTCGCCGAGTCGCGGGAGGTGCCATACGCATACACCTTGGTGTCGGGCAGGTCGCGATGGAATTTCTGCGCGTTGCGCGGGGCGGGGGAGATGGGGAAAAAGGGGAGAGGGGAGGGGGGAAGGAGAGCATGGGAAGGAGAGTATGGGAGTGATGGAGTGAGAGTAAACACCTTGGTGTCGGGCAGGTCGCGGTGGAACTTCTGCTCGTTGCGCCGGCCGGGGGAAAGGGGGGTTGAAGGAATGGGAAAGAGGAAAGGGAGGAGGGAGTGCGAGTGAGGGAGCGAGGTGGAAGAGTATGGGAGCCATGTGGAAAAGCACGCCGAGTGACGGTGAAAAACCATGTGACGGTGAAAAGTGTCACTGTGACGAAAACGCGAATGAGCTTTTGCGAGCCGCGCGAACCAATGAGTTGCACCGCACTCATAAATAGCTAGCTCCACCTCGATCTGCTTATCGTACGGAACACCGCGGAGTAAGCCGTCGCACTTGCGTGAAAGACGTCGCACGACGTCAGCGGCCGTTGCACTTGCATGCAGCACGACGCACGACGTCCAACAGCTGTCAGACGTGTCTGATACAACCAGGCACCCACCAATTTGCACTGTTCAGCAATTGCACTCGCCTGGCACACGTCGCACACGCCTTTGAAAACTTGGAAGCACCGCGCCACCATCACCCAGCAATCGCAAGCGCATGGTAACCGTTGTACGACGACCACCCCCACCCTTCCCCCCCCCGGCCCCCTTCCCGTCCCTCTTTCCCCCCCCCTCCCCCCCCCACGTGGTAGACGTCGTACGACGTCACCCGCCTCCCTACCCCCATTCTCCTCCTCCCCCCCGTAAGACTCACATGGTACACGTCGTAGGCGCCGAGTTTGATGATCTCGCCGGTCGACGCGTCGAGGAAGGTGAGCGGCGACGCGGCGAGGTCGTCGACGAACTTGCACAGCGGCTTATCCGGAAACCGGTTCACGCACCGCGGCCCCGCCATGGGCTGCGCGCGCGCCGCCATCACGTTGAGAAGCGCCAAGACGACGGCGCAGAGGCGCGCAAGAGTGGTGCTCTCGCCAAGCCGAGCAGCGGCATTCGGACGAGTCCCCGCGGGCCGCCCCATCAAGTCAATCTTGGCCGTCGGTGACGCGCGGTGTACTTGTCACACGTGTAGCAATGCAAGCCGAGCGAGTCGCGAGAGTAGCGTCGAGAGTAGTGTGAGCTGGCAGATGTGCAGAGCAGCGTGTTGGTCGGCTTTGGCGACTCAACTGGAACAAAGCTTTGCAGCAGCCTGCTTCCGAGATGCCTTGAAAATGAAAGCTGTCCAGTGCAGCGTTGCACAAATAGTTGCACCAAGGCTGTCAGTCAGTGTCATTGTCAAATAGTTTCTTGACTGGTCAGGCGGAGAGGGGTGGAGGGGGCGAGGAGAGGCAGCGCAGAGGAGAGGCACCCGCGACCGAGAGAGGAGAGGCACCCGCGACCGTGTGAGGAGAGCCACCCGCGACCGTGTGAGGAGAGGCACCCGCGACCGTGTGAGGAGACGCACCCGCACGAGCGGTACAGTACGCCCAGAGAAACTTCCCTTCCCCCCATCCGATGGGGGAAGGGGCTGTGACGGTGGGGCGGACGCAACACGGCCTGCAAACGAGCGAGGAATGCTTTTCTTCCTGCCCGATTGCCGATAGGGCAGCGTGAAAAAGTCGGGTTTTGAGTGCATGTGAGATCGCCAACTTTTGAACTGTATCAAAATTCGGCCGGGTGCCGTTGCCGCGAAAGTAGGGCGGATGCAGGAAGGGCCGTGAACGAGGACTGCTTTTGTTGCTGCCCGAGTCAGGGGCTGCGTGAAAAAAACGGCAGGCCTCGCGACATCCAACCCAAACTTGCGACGGCGGCGCGTTTGGGTCCCCCAACCCAACCAGAGGTGGCGTTTCAGATCCGAGGCGCTCGCGGTTGATTAGCCGTGACGAAATCCTATACAGTATCACTTAGGGAGTGATGGGCAAACTGCAGGCTTAGGGATTAGGTCGTCGTTTCTTCGGTGTTGAATAGCGCGTTTGTGTATAGAGTGCTGTTTCTCTCATGCAAACTGCAAATATGAGAATGGGCGTAAAGCGAGACAGCTAAAAACTCAGAAATACGATCATAAATCACATGCTAAAAAGGGTTTTTAATAATTATTTATTTTTTGCCAAATTTCGGACTCATTTGTGAAAGAAAATTTTGCAGCGTCCATTTCTCCTTCGCGTTCCTAAAGATACCCCCAGTAATTTAGAAGCTGTGAAGTAAGTGCGACTTTGTAGATTTGTCAAACTATACAATCGTACGAATTTGTTTCTTAACGAGTCCGTGTATCACATTATCTTACGGCCATGGCAGCCGTACTACCTGCGACTACAGTCCGCGTTCTCGCCTAATCGTTCACCCAATAGCAATCAGAAATGAGCCTTTTCCGCAGTTCTAGGAACGGCCATTCCACAGGATCGTTCGCGCATTGGGAGCATTGTGAATAGTGAGCATCGTTTTTACGTTCCCGCTGCAGACATGGACGGTTCCCGATAGAAGAACCTGTTGGTAAGCCAACATGGAGCCGTGGTGATTGTAACCACTAATCGTCGCCGAAACATAAACACCATCAACAATGCGACGTACCTCGAGCTCGCACGCGCTCTAACCGACGCAGACAAAAAATACACTGTATCGATTGTTCTTATAACGGGAGCCGCCTAGTACTTCTGCAGCGGGACAGACATGCTCGAGTTCATGCAGACCGTTGAGAGACTCGAGGCTCTAAATCGATCCCAGGAATCAACAGGAGCCGTCGGATCATTAACACAACCAGCAGAAATCTCAGCTCCAGCCGTCCGATCCACACCACAAGCCAGCTCCATCGTCGTTTTCCCCCGGATTTCGACCCGTTCGCCAGCCCCGTGGGTCGGTTCATGCGCGGAGATTCTCCAAGATCTTAGTCGCAGCAGTCGACGGGCCAGCCATGGGGATCGGCGTCACGCTCCTTCCGCACTGCGACCTCGTCTTCGTCGCCGCGGCAGTTTCCGCCACGTTCTGGGTCCCCTTTCTCCGCATCGCGCTCGTCCCCGAGTTTGGCTCGTCCGTCACGCTCCGCAGATGCTCGGCCACGCCCTATCAAACGATCTGCTGCTGACGTTACGAGTGCTCTCTGTGGACGAGGCGTGCAGTAACGGTCTTGTTTCGAGAGGCTTCTCCGATGGGACCGTTCAGAGTGGTAAGATAATTCTGAAGGATCACGCGCACTTTAGCTTATGACAGGCCGTTTCAAGGAATGTTTTCTTCCAACCAAACTTGGAAGTCCGATTTTCGCAGGTAATGTTGCTGAATTCTACTTATCTGTGATAACTTCTCTCCTCCCCACCGCACTCCCCCATTTGTCTTTCTTCTTTCCACTATCCCTCTTGCAGAAGTCCTCTCAATACTCTCCGACATTCAGTAGCAGGCGCGCTTCCAACAGTCCCTCCCCACCTTCAAACGAATGCTGCGCAACCCTGGGGTTGAGCTCAGCGCCACGTCAGGCTGACGTGGAGGCGGTGGTGAGAGAGGAGCTGCGTCAGCTGGCTTGTAGGCAGATGGTGGGGGAGACGGGGTATGCTGTGAGGGAGACCATGAAAGCAATGCGCGCTGCCAAGGGGGGGAGCGAGGCAGCTGGGACTCTAAGCAAACTGTATGTTGGTGGCTCGCAGGCGGCAGGCGTATGGCGGGAGAGACGGGGTATGCTGTGAGGAGACCATGAAGGCCATGCGCGCTGCCAATGAGGGAAACGGAGCAGGGGGCGGTGGGAGAACTGGGTACCGTAGCAAGCTGTAGGGGTGTGGGGACAGACAGAGTTAGATGGCAGGGGGGACAGGGTATGTTGTGAGGGCGACCATGAAAGCAATGCGCGCTGCCAATGGGGATAGCAAAGAAGGGAGTGGTGAGAACGTTGGGCCCCGGAGCAAACTGTAGGCAGGCGGGTGAGACAGGGCATGCTGTGAGGGCGATCATGAAAGCAATGCGCGCTGCCAAGGGGAATAGCAAAGCAGGAAACGGTGGGGCACCTGGGTCTCGAAGCAAATTGTAGGTAGGTGGCGCGCAGGCAGATTGCGGGAGAGACAGGGTATGATGTGAGGACGACCATGAAAGCAATGCGCGCTGCCAAAGGGGATAACAAAGCTGGGAGTAATGAGAGAGTTGGGTCCCGGAGTAAACTGTAGGCTGATGCCTCTCAGACAGATGGCAGAGAGACGGGGCATGCTGTGAGGACGACCATGAAAGCAATGCGTGGTGCCAAAGAGGGAAGTTTAGTCTGAAATGGTGGGGAAACGAGCCATCGAAGCCGACTGTGTGGGTGTGAGGGAGTGGGCAGATGGCGGGAGAGACGGTACGTTGTGAGGATGATTGTGAAGGCCATGTGAGCTGCCAGCAGTTGAAGCAGAGCTGGGAAGGGTAGAATTCCTGCAGAGCTTGCTGTGTTTGGGATGTGTGGAACAGGATTTGCTGTAAGATGGACTGTGAAGGCAACAGAAGCTGCCAAAGGGGAACGCAGTGCTGGGAACGTTGCAAGAACGCCCCTAGAACCAATTTTGTGGGGGTGGGGCTGGTTATATGGATTGTATTTACTGCAAGGCTGGCTCTGAAGGCCATGTGGATATAGCCAACCAAAAACTTCGTAGTACGATTCTACATAAACGGAGAGGAAAGTATTCTTGCCCATTAACGACACAATCATGGCCTATAGATTATGACGGAGAATGGGCCCACATTTGCAAAAGAGACGCATCTAAACTGGGGATAACCATTTTTACAGAATAGTGTTGCGCGCCATGCGTTATTGAAGGAGACCCTTTATATGCAGGTCACGACAAACCCAAAACCGAAGTGCACAGAACAGTGCGGGCTACTGTAGCTTCCAGATCACCTCCCTTGCCTTGCCCTTTGTCCCTTTCGCTGGTACACTTGCAGGTTCGATAGGTTCGGCATGCGCCGTCGTCGTCGCAGTGAGTGAGGGAGCCCCTACGCCGTGGAGCCGCCTTTCCGTCATCACCCCTTTGCCGTACGGAACGGACTCTCGTGTGGGGTGTGGCCTGGCCAGACCAGGCCGCTTGGTGTTCCCCTTGACTGGGGTTGCTTGACTCAGTCGCCTAGCTCACGGTGGTTCCGCTACCCTCTTCCCCCACCCCCCCCCCCCCCCCCCCCCCCCCCCCCCCCCCCCCCCCCCCAATTTTCTCCCCGCCATCCCACCCCAACCACTTCGTCATTCGGCTCGGCCCCTACAGCCGAGCCCGAGACAAAGCCAGTTTCTCCGGGCGGAGCGGAAAGCCACGGGCGAAGGCGGATCGCTTGCGCTAGCACGCGTTGATGGATTGCGCCACAGGCGCCACTTTCCATCAATTCATGCTTCCGCCCGTACGAGCCTTTCTGCCAATGCACCTTCAGCGTTTCCGCGCGCAAGGCAGGCAGACCTGCCCTTGCGTTGCTTTCACCATCCCATACCCCATCGCCGCAAAATTTTCCTCCCCCCTCATGCACATTCCACGTCCACTCGCCTCGACTCGCCTCGCTCTGGCCATTCTCCTGGCATCCCCACCATTCCCCCCACGTACACTAGTTCAGGATTCGGATCGGGAAGGTGGAGGCACAATGCAGTCACCCAGTGCCCGAGACAAACATTACGCTGTAAATTCGCCCACATCGCATCGTATCCCAGCGCATTTCCCTATCCAGTGGCGAGCCCGGCTGTCACAATGTCCCCTCCGCCGCGCCGAGCCGCGACGGCGCAGCATCTTACTGTACCAGTCCCAGCTCAGCCGTTGCTGCCATACGAACGAAACCCCGACAATGTAGGCGCTGAGCAATGTCCGAGCTCAGCCGTTGCTGCCATGCCGTACGAAACTCATGCGCATGTTCGTACGATCGTGCGCATGCGAGCGCTCAGCATATATCAGGTCCGAGCGGCCAGCCATTTCTCGTCGCTCATCACCTCTCGTCCCACTCGTTCCGTTTCGCATTCCTTGTCTTCCACCCTTCACCTAGCTGATCTGCCTCGGGGGTGGGCTACTATCTCTTTGACAGAATAAAGCAGAGGCGTGCGATAGTACTATTAGTAATCGAGCCGCGGCGCGCCGGCGGCGTCCAATTGCCACTCTCGTGACGGAGCACCGCAGCAGACGTTGAACCGAACCGCCAAAATGCCTCCCACCACGCTCGCGCGCCTCTGCGCCGTCGCCTTGGCGCTTCTCAGCGTGCTGATGACGGCGCGCGCGCAGCCCCTGGCGGGGCCGCGGTGCGTGAACCGGTTTCCGCAGAAGCCGCTGTGCAAGTTCGTCGACGACCTCGCCGCGTCGCCGCTCACCTTCCTCGACGCGTCGACCGGCGAGACCATCAAACTCGGCGCGTACGACGTCTACCAGGCAAGTCTGACGGTTCGCGTTTGCATTTGCGTTTTGCGACATTCCGCTCACAAAAACCCTCACTCAACTCCCTCGCTCACTCGGTCCACCTCCTCGCTTCTTATTCTCTCCTTTCCTTCTTACCCCCCCTCCCCCTCTTCCCCCCTCTCTCCCCCTCTCTCCCTTTCTCCCCCCCCTCCCCCCTCCCCTCCCCCCCCCTCTCCCCCCCGTCCCCCCGGTCCGCCCAACTTTCAGAAGTTCCATCGCGACCTGCCCGACACCAAGGTGTATGCGTACGGCGTCTCCCGCGACTCGACGCGCTACCCGGGGCCTGTGCTCGTCGCGAAACGCGGCACCACCACCAAGGTGAGCGCAACAGCACCTGCAAGGAGAGAGCAGCAGGGTGACCAGCACGGTGAGCGCGGCGTCTTTGCTGCTCCGCACCTTTGGAGGAGGAAGCAGCTTTCGTGAGAGCTTTCAAAGCGGCCCTTGTGCTTTCGAACCGTCCTTCGGCGTGCTTCTCTTATTGTATGATGTCAGACGATTATGGTTGTTTTGGATGTGCTTCGCGTAGTAACTTCTTTTACCACAGCCTGCTCACATAATTTCCCGATTCACTTTGAGTCCCCTGATTCGCTCTTGTCCAATGTCCAATATGTTCACTATCGCAGGTTAAGTTCGCGAATCACATCAAGGACAAGACGCACATGTTCACGATTGACCCGACGCTTATGACGCCTAAGCTCAAGAACGGCGGTGTGCCAATCAGTAAGTCAGGACCGACTGTGGTAGTGTTGAGATTAGCAACCAACCAACCCGTCCTCGTTTCAAGTCACTTCCAAGCGGTTCAGTGTTGTGAATGGCGTTTCCAGTACGGCAGAAAGTGGTCGCCATTCAGTTCACTGGCAAGATGCACGCATCTCCGGCGTTTCTAATCGTTTTTTCCTGAAACCCCTCCGTGTTATCACCTCCGTCTGTTCACATTGTTATCATCACAGCCGTCCATTTGCATGGCGGGGAGAATCCAAGCAAATCCGACGGCCACCCCATGGCGTGGTACACTGCCTTCGGAGAGAACGGATCCGAGTTCGAATCTGAAGAGCACACCTATCCGAACATGCAGCGCGCAACCATGCTGTGGTACCACGACCACACGGTTGGGATCACCGCACTGAACGTGGTAGCGGGGATGGCGGGGCTTTACGTTATCCGCGACCCGCAGGGCGAGGAGCGGCGGCTGAAGAAGTGGCTGCCACGTGGCGAGCGTCAATTGCACCTCGTGATTGCTGACAGGATGTTTTTCCCCAACGGATCCATCAATTATCCGAACCAGGGCTTCGTGCCAAACGTACACCCGAACTGGATACCCGGTTACGTTGGCAATACGAATCTTGTAAACGGGAAGGTGAGACAAAGGGATGGCTTTGCATTTTGTGTGTTTTTTACCATGCAAGCTTGTGCTTCATGTAAGCATTGATATTGTGGTTCAACTCCACCCCCATCTCCGACTAATCACGTTGTGCCATTCCCTTCCCCCACCGCTGGCCCTCAGGTCTGGCCGTTCCTCAATGTTCGGCGAGCGATGCACCGGATTCGCATGGTGAATGCAGCCAATGCGCGCACGTACAACCTCACCTTCCAGTGCGCTGGGCGTGGCGACCACAACTTCAATCCCCCTCTTGCTGGACCCGTGCTGCCCTTCTACCTGGTGAGGTCAAGAGGTGAGAACAAGAGGTCCCTCGCTCTCTCTGATGTGAACAAGATGTCCGTTACCCGATTAATCACCGTTCAAGTTGACTAGATTAATCACCTGTTGGACCCGTGCTTTTCTTAACCAGGTTGGAACTAGTTCCACCTCTCCTCCCCTCCATCCTTCTTTCCCTCCCACTCTCCCCCCTCCTCTTTCCCTCTTGTACCCACCGCTCTCCTTCGTTCCCCCCTCCCATTTACCGCCATCCATTTTTCCCTGTTTCCCTTCTGCTTCCCTTTTGCCCATCTGCTTCCCCATAACCAGATCGGCTCTCGCGGAGGCTACCTCACCCGCCCGCTGTGCCGCTCGCTCCTGCTCGTCGTCCCGGGCACACATTATGACCTCTTTCTCAACTTCAACGCTTCACTGCCTATGGCCTATCCCAAAACCTCTGCAACCCCCGTTTCCCCTCCTTCCCCAACCACCCCACCCTCCCACTTTTCTCTATCTGGCAGGTCGGTTCCGATGGTGGTTACCTCGATTGTCCTCGCTCGCCCTGTGTCCTAACCCACAACCTCTGCAACCCTCCTCCCCCTCCTCCCCCACCCACGCCACCCTCCCACTTCCCTCCACCTGGCGAGATCGGTTCCGACGGAGGCTACCTCGCCCGTCCCCTGCGCCGCTCCACCAGCTCGGTGTCCCGGGCACGCGTCACGACCTGCTCCTTGACTTCAATGCTGCACCCGTCTGGTGCCCACCTTCCCCTTCCCCCCTCTCCCCCGCCCTGCCAGATCGGTTCTGACGGAGGCTATCTCGCCCGCCCACTCCGCCGCTCCTTCCTGCTCAGCGTCCCAGGCGCGCGTCACGACCTGCTCCTCGACTTCAATGCAGCACCCGGATGGTGCCGTGATGTCATCATTGTCAACAGCGCCTCCATCCCCTTCCCCACGGGACAGCCTGCTGACTGGTTCACGGGTGTGGTCATGCGATTCATCATCAACCAGCGCTCGCCCGTGAAGGCCCCTGCCCTGCCCAAGACGCTTTCGGTGAGTGCGTGAGTATGTGTGTGTGTCTTTCTGCCTCTCCAGCTCTCTGTCTGTCTGCCATGGCACTCGCTCCCCTTCACCGCGGGACAGCCTGGTGCTGTCATGCCATTCATCAGCAACTAGTGCTCGCCTTTGAACCCCCTGCTCTGCAAAAGAGTCTGCTGGTGGGTGACTTGTCTCTGTCTGCCGCATGCCTGGCACGTCATGTCTCACTCTTCCAGTGCATGCCAGTCTAGCATGCCTGGAATGTCATGTCACACTCTTCCAGTGCATGCCAGTCTAGCATGCATTAGGCGTCACACTCTTCTTCCTTGACCTCCCTCCCTCCCCTTTTGAAACCTCTCCATGCTAGCAGTACATCCCCCTAGTGGACTTTTCTCAAGCAAAACAGCAGAACTTTCTCACTCACTCACTCACTCACTCACTCATTCATTCACTCACTCTCTTCTATGCCCTCCCATTCACTGGCTGCCCATCACTTGCGCCATTGACCATGCCTCTTGCCCTTCCCTGCCTCCCCGCACCCACGTTGACTTCCCCGTCGGCAGCGCATCCCCCCAGTGCACCTCTCGCAGTCATTGAAGCAGCGCTGGCTCGCCACGGAGTTTCTCATTCACCTTTCCTCTCCCTCTTTCCCGCCTCCCCTCGCCCTTTGCGTCCCTCTCTGCACTGCAGCGCATTCCCCCAGTGGACCTCTCGCAGTCGGTGAAGCAGCGCTGGCTCACCCTAGTGTTTGTGATCGACAAGGTGTCACAGAAACCAAGCTCCATGCTGCTGGATGGCAAGGCCTACATGGATCCTGCTACTGAGAAGCCCAAAGTGGTGAGCACAAGACACCCGAGTACACCCATGTGGTAACAGTAATGTAAATCTATATAGTTCTTTAGTATCTCTTGGCGTTTTCGAGCAAGTGAACTAAAATATTTGCTAGCTCTCCTCTCCTTCCGGATTACTCCTGTGTGAGAATTCTTAAAAAACATCTGGTGCGCTTTTGTCACTCCTTTCCTTTCATACCCTTTCTTTTTCAGGGCACTTCGGAGCTTTGGCACATCATCAACCCGACATTCGAGACGCACCCCATCCACCTGCACCTCATTCAGCACCGCCCCATCACCCGCCGTCCGATCAACTCTGGCGGGCTAATCAACGGCACTTGTTCGCTCACACCATCTACCTCCAAGCCCAGCTGCTTCACCGGGCCGGCCCGGCCCGTGCCGCTGCATGAGAGGGGATGGAAGGACACCACTGTTGCATTCCCTGACAGTGTTCTCACCATCTTTGTGCCGTTCAAGGGGCAGGTGAGATGCGGTGCAATGCGGTTGGGGAGGACGGTGGTAGGGTGAAATGACGCCATTGTTACATTCCCCGACAGCGTCCTCACCATCTTTGTGCCGGCAGGTAAGGAGACAGCTGGTGCTACTTTATACTGTAAATATTCCTCTTTAGTCTGGTCTGGGTTTAACCTCTTCTTTCAGCACCTGCATCTCGCTCCTCCAACTAACCACTCCTCACTACGCTCTCGTACCTCTCTTCACTTATCTGCTTCTTCTTTTGAACCGTACTGGCAATGCCAACCCTCTCTGTTTTCCTTCTCTGGATCGCCTCGCATGTCACCATGTGCAGAATGGCAAGCAGTTCCCCTTTGATGCCACGGAGGCCCCCGGCTATGTGTGGCACTGCCACGCACTGGAGCATGAGGACAACGACATGATGAGGCCACTCATCATGACATCTTAGCCCTACCTACTCAGAAGAACAACTCTCAAGCCTTCTAATTTCGTCACGGAGTAGGTATTGTTGACTCCAAACACAAGTTCTGTTGAAACCCTGTTTAGTTTTTGCCCTTCATCCCTAGGAATGAGGCATTATGAGTTGTAGTGGTACTCGTCCCTTCATTGGAGCTTTGTGAAGTACTGCTTGGTACGGTAATAAAGCTATTGAGGTTCGACACTCCAAGCCAACCTTAATCAACCATCAGAACTATGTTATTTTCAGACGTATAAGCGGACTACAGGAGGAAGAGAGTAGATTGCTACGCTGAAGTGGCAGCCGGAACGGTTAACACATCGAGAGTTAGCAAATGAGCTCCAGCCTTCGCGCGTACCTTTCCCAAAGTTTTGGGTGAGAGTGTCAAATGTTATACCCTGTTGTGGGTCATGCTATATGGGGTACAAGCAGTTAGGGTTAGGCATGTGTACCCCAACCCTATCAATCCTACTCATTCCGCTGTAGCTACTTTCTGAGATGGTATCAGCTAGGTTCCTCGCTCCTAGGCCCTAGGTTTAGGGTTTCGTTCCTTCCCTAGCTCGCCACAAACGCCAGCGCGCTAGTGCGCTAAGCCCTAAGCCGCCAGCCAGCCAGCCCGCTGCCCCCCTACCGCGCCACGCCGGCGGTCGACCTGCAGCGCGGCCTAAACCCTAGCTACCGCGCCACACGCCCGTAGGCCTGCCCGTCGCCTAGAACGCCTGCAGGCCCGCTCGTCGACCCGCAGCGCCGCCCGTAGGCCCGCGCGCCGCGTCGCCCGCCGTCGACCAGCTGCGCAGCCCGCTCGTCGACCCGCCGCGCCGCCCGTAGGCCCGCGCGCTGCGTCGCCCGCCGTCGACCAGCTGCGCAGCCCGCTCGTCGACCCGCCGCGCCGCCCGTAGGCCCGCGCGCCGCGTCGCCCGCCCGTCGACCGGCTGCGCAGCCCGCCCGTCACTCAGTACGCCGTGCCGCACGCCCCATAGCGCGCCGCGCCGCCCACCACCCAGCGCACTGCACCGCCCACCAGCCAGCGTACCGCGCTGCCCACCAGACAGCGCACTGCGCCGCTCACCTACCCACCTACATGCCTCCCCGCCTGCCCACACGTTACTGATTGTCTCTCCCCTCCCGCGGCTGGCAGCCGCGCTCTCTCAGTCTCGCCCTCTATGGCGACCTCCCGAGTACTTCGTTTCGACCCTGAAGGGCGACCTATAGATTTTAGCACGTGGCTTACGCAGGCGCAGCGCCACCTTAAGAGCCAGCGGCAGGATGGCGTGCACTTGTTCGCCCACGCATCCGGTACTCAGACCGCTCCCCAGCAGCCTAGCCCGCTGCCCACTACCCCACCGCCTACTCCTGAGCAGGAGGCCGAGTACCAGCGCCAGCTCCTCGCTCGCGACGTGTGGGAGTCTCGTGACGCCGCTGCCTGCCTCGCCCTGACCGACCTTCTCCCGCCGACAGAGGCAGTCCACTTCGCTCAGGTCGAGTCTGCTGCAGATCTGTATAAGGCTATTGTTGCTCGCTACTCTACTCCCTCCTCTGCGTCGCTCAGTCGCCTCCTCGTACCTTTTATCTACCCTGACCTCGCCTCCTTTGAGACAGTCTCTGACCTCGCTACTCACCTGCGCTCCCTTGACGCTCGCTTTCGCGCTGCTTGCACTGAGGACCAGCTTGCCCTTGCCCCGCCCCCTATGTGGCTCACTATTCACTGGCTAGTCACTCGCCTCCCTAACCGCCTAGCCACAGCCCGCGATGCGCTTCTTCTGAAGCACCCCACTGAGCTTATCATCGATCTTCTTGAGACCGCTCTCTCGAAGATCGAGAATAACCTCCTCACCGTTGCCTCTGCCTCTTCCGCGCCTCCTCCTCGTCTTTTTGAGGGGTGTGCGGTACCACAGCTTCCCACCTTCTCTGCCTCCCTTGCCACTCCCACGTCTTCTGCCTCCGAGGAGACGGCGGCTGTTTCTGTCTCTGGCGGACAGAAACGTGGCAAGGCCGGCAAGAAGGGCGGGAAGGGCGGCGGGGGTACTGGAGGTGGTGCGGGTAGTGGCGGTGGCGGTGGAGCAGGTGGTGGGAGTGGTGGTGGGGGTGGCTCGGGACCTGACGGCCCTCCTTTCGACGGTGGAGTTTCCATTGGTGGTGAGGGGCTCCAGCAGCAGCAGCAGCCGACTCCTCAGCAGCTGCCACCGCCTGGACAGCAGCAGCGGCAGGGACAGCAGCAGCAGCAGCGACAGGGCCAGCAGCAGCGCCTACCGCAGCAGCAGCCTCAGCAGTGGGGCCCTCCGCAGCAGTGGGGCCCTCCGCAGCAGTGGAGGTCTGCGGGTCCCCCGACCACTGGGCGCGGTGGCGCCCCCTCCAGTCGGGGACCTCGCGCGGCCGGCCGCGACGTTGGTCCCTGTGAGTACTGGATCCTTACGGGTCCTCTTAGGGACACGTACTGTGGCCGCCCCGACCACTCTGCTGCACGCTGCTTTAGTCGTCTCGACGACCTCTACCGCTTGCACCACGGCCCCTCCGCTCCCCCGCCGCCACGCTGGGGGACGCTGCTTGCTCGTGGTATTGCTGTTTTTGATATGACTATGGATGATGCTAGGTCTTATGCCATGTATGCTGATGTTGACTATAGTGCTCCTGGATCTGTGTACTTGCCTGTACCTAGCTTAGGATCTTTGCCTGTTGCTAGAGTAGATGCTAGTGTAGGATCTTGCTTAGCTACTAGTACAGGTACTCCCTCGGCGGACACGTCTCTCTCCTTCACACTGGACTCAGGAGCGTCGCATTGCTTCTTCCGCGACTGCACGACTCTCTCTCCGCTACCGGCGCCTGTCCCTGTAGCACTGGCCGATCCCTCCTCGGGACCGGTCATTGCGACTCACGCCACTACTCTCCCGTGCCCAGCTGCTCCTTCTGGTTCCCTGACCGGCCTCCACGTTCCTACGTTCTCTAGGAATCTGGTTGGTGTGGGCACCTTGGCGAGACAGCACGTCGGTGTCTGGGTTGAGCCTTCTGGTGACACCGCAGTCTGCGTCGACGGTGACACGTACGCCCCCTTGGCCACTTTCCGCCAGGAGCCGGGCTCTGGTCTGTACACCCTCCGCACCGACCCCCGTCAGGTTCCCCCGTCCCACCAGGTAGCCGGGTCCAGTCAGGTTGCTGTGTCAGGTGTAGTTGCTGCGTCGTGCTCGTGTCGGTCGCTTGCCCACCCCACCGTTCTGTGGCACCACCGGATGGGGCACCCGTCCCTTCCTCGTCTGCGCGCCATGTCCAGTCAGCGTCTTGTCTTAGGCCTCCCCCGAGTCCTCCCGCCACTCCCGCCGTCCCCAGCTCCTCCGTGCGGTCCTTGTGTCCAGGGTCGGCTTCGCGCCACCCCTCACTCCTCCTCCCTTCGTCCGGCCACCGAGCCCTTTCAGACACTCCACTTAGACGTCTGGGGCCCCGCCTCCCGCCTTGGCCCTGAGCGGGAGAGTTTCTTTCTGGTGGTCGTTGACGATTTCTCTCGGTACACCACCGTGTTCCCTTTGGCGAAGAAGTCCGACGTGACTTCTACGCTGATCCGGTGGCTGCTCGCCACCGAGGGCACTCGTGGTCGTCGTGTCAGTTGTCTCCACTCCGACCGTGGGGGTGAGTTTCGCTCCGGCATTCTCGCCAGATTCTGTGCTGAGCAGGGCATCACCCAGTCCTGGACTCTTCCAGACTCTCCACAGCAGAATGGGGTTGCTGAGCGCCGCTCCATGGAGATCGCCCGCACCTCCATGATCCACGCCCACGCGCCCCATTTTCTGTGGCCCTACGCGGCTCGGTACGCCGCTCACCAGCTGAACCTCTGGCCTCGCGTCTCTCGGCCAGGGGCTTCACCGACCAGTCTTTGGACAGGGTCCCCTGGTGTTGCATCGAGGTTTAGTGTCTGGGGCTGCTTGGCTCTTGTCCGCGACACCTCTGCGGACAAGATCTCGCCTCGTGCAGTCCCCTGTGTCTTCCTTGGTTTCCCAGAGGGCTCCTCTGACTTCACCTTTTACCACCCACCCTCCCACCGGTTCTTTGACTCTCGTGACGTCCGTTTCGACGAGTCCGTCCCCTACTACGTCAGGTACCCCTCTCGAGGTCTCCCGGTTCCCCCCCCTCCCCTCTTCCTGGCTCCAGCTCCTCCTCCTCCCGCCCCTGCTCCTCCGGTACCCCCCCCCTGTTCCCGCTCCGTCTGGTGTGTCTCACGCTACTCCCCCTCCCTCGGTACCCCCCCAGGTCTCTCCTCCTTCCCCACAGTCGTCCTCACCGCCTCCGCAGCAGCCATCGGCGCTTCCTTCACCGGCCACTGCGGACACTGAGGGTGTCGGTGCTAGCGGTGAGGGCTCTGGCGGTGCTCGCTCTGGGGGTGCTGGCGTTGGAGCTGTTCGTGCACCTACAGGAGCGGCCAATTCTGGGGGTGCTGGCACTAGCGCTGAGCGTGCACCTGCCGCAGCTGCCCGTTCCGAGGGTACTGGAGCTGGTGGTGGTGCTGGAGCTGGTGGTGTTTCTGGAGCTGGAGAGTTTGGGGCTGGTGCTGGTGCTACTGGGGGCACCACGCCTGGGGGTGCGGGTACACCTCCTGCAGGTGCAGGTCGTGCTGCCGCGGGGGGTACTCGCTCTGGGGGTGCTCAGCCGGGTGCTGTCGACGGCGGAGCACGTTCTTCTTCGTCGTCTCCTCACGCTACTCCTCCTCCTCACCCTTACCCGACTCGCCACCAGGCCCGTCTTCGTCTTGAGCGCGAGGAGCAGCAGCGTTTGGAGCGTGAGAGGTTGGAGCTTCAGCAGCGGGTGGAGAGTGAGAGGTTGGAGTTGCAGCGGGAGCAGCAGCAGCAGCAGCAGCAGCAGCAGCAGCAGCAGCAGCAGCAGCAGCAGCAGCAGCAGCAGCAGCAGCCGCAGCAGCAGCAGCAGCCGCAGCAGCCTCCGCCCCCTGTTTCTGGCCTTCGGGCCCTTGGTCTCCCCTCCTCTCCTCCTGTGCTCGGTCCTACGTTTCC